AAAAAACCATAGAGCTCAAGGAAGGAAAGCAGAAAACCATAGAGCTCAATTAAAATATTAATTTTTTAATTGTTATTTAAATTAGGGTTTACTAAAAATACACTCTTTATATGATTATTAATTAAATAGAGTAATGGAGATGTTAGGAGAAAATTGTGAAAGATAATAATCAAAAATATAAAATTTAAATTATTTATTAAAATTWAAATTTAAAATATTTAAAATTTATTCCAAAACTATCTTTTTCTTAATTTTTAAATCAATTAAAAACCGAAAATCCATCAATTTGATCAAAACAATAGATGGTGTAGATTAGGTTGCATTGGTTGTAACCTTCAGATGAGTTTGTATTTGAAGATTTATCTATGTATATATATATATAGAAGTGTTTTCAAATACAAACAATGTAATTCTTACAAACCATACCAACATTATATAAGAAAACAATTGACATATTTATGAACAATTATCATGATTCATTAATTATGATTGATATATATATATATATATATATATATATATATGAAAGATGATAAGATTCATTTATTATGATCATGAATTTAAATTAGAAAATAAAACAAAATATATACTTATGACTAAATAGACGGCTAAGATTGGTTTATATATATATATACACACACACTTTGGATCATGTAAGACCAACATGTTTTCGTGAAACCACATTTTTATACTTGAAACTTCACAGAAAAGTATTGTGAAAGTAACGTTTAGAGTGTTTTTGCTAGTTCAATTTTTTTACTTTCACGATATTTTGTAGTGAAGTTTCAATAAAAATGTGGTCTCATTAGTTTCACGAGAACAGGTTGGTGTCACGTGAACCCAACCCTATAATATATATATATATATATATATATAGAGAGAGAGAGAGAGAGAGGTTCATGTATTTTGGCGTTGAAAATTCAAGTCAATTTGATTTCTAAATAAATGATTGATATTTAGTCTCTTCACATTCAGATCCACATGCACTAAAGTTTGGTAGGGTATTCCAAAGGGATACAATTTCCTGCGAAAGGTCTCATTTGGCCACATTCTYTTACAGTTATTGATGATATATATGATGGACTAAGCCACTTGGGTGTATTAAAAAATGAGAATAAGACTCGTTACTATCAGAATGTGTAATTTTATGAACAAATCAATTTGAATTGGGGTTTTTTGTTTTTATGCTTTTTTTATAGTAATAGTTGTTTTAATGATTACAAATCTTAAATGAGGTTCTAGTTTGCATAACATTTTCTGAATCAATAAAATGTGTTAAATCATTTGGAATTTGACAAAAATTTGAATGAAATATTACTAGATTTGACTAAATGTTTGGTTGATATAAAATGAAATATAATATATCAGAAAAATTGTAAATATGTTTATTTGGTTCATAGAACGTAACTTACTAAAAAGAAATAAAAAWAATAAAAATAAAATGCCATTTATTTTTCATTAAATTATAGATAATTATAAAATTCACGATTGATGCTGAAAAAAATGTAAATTATCATTTATTAATCAAGAGTAAATTATATATATGTATTTTTTTAGAAACAWCAATTTTATTAAGAAACCACCGAGGCTAGCAAGATGCTAGCACTTACAAAAGAGCCGTTAAAGGGCTGATACACCAAACATTCCAATCAAGAGAATTACAAGACTTCGATCTGAGTCTAATCCAATTAAAAGAAAAGAGCACAATATCCTTGTAAATTACCATCGGGTTTTTACCGGGTTTATTGAAGACCAACGCATTTCGATTCGTCCAAATTATCCAAATAAACGCCATGAGAATTACCTCCAAGCCCTCCTTAACCTTCTACACTTTGAAGGGAAATTGTGCTGCAGAAAAAAATTCCGCCAAATTGGTAACTTGACAAGGAAAACCCGACCACCAATTCTTTACATACGCACCGATCACCTTTGTAGTCGAACAACCAAACAAGAGATAACCTTCCGTTTCTGGTTGACTTAGGCAACAAGGACAGAGAACTGAGCTCACATGGACACCTCTAAGGAAGAGATTATGTCTAGTGGGAAGTCTAGACTTTGAAAAATGCCAGATAAACATATTCACTTTACCAGGAACTAATTTGTTCCACTTCGATACACTTCCGTCAGATTGTAAAACCCCTTCATCGATCTTTCCCCGACACGTCTTAACCGAGAAAATCCCATCCTCGGATAAAGCCCAGCGGCGAAAGCCATTGCTGTCAACCGACCAGAAATTATTAACATTCAACCCAACTTTCYGGATGAGAGTATCCCATTTAGCAATAGCTCCCCATACACCCGGTTTCTTACAACCGTCACTAAAAATACCCCCTCTAGCACCATGAAACGCCTTTATACAATCTCTCCAAAGACTACCCTCTTCATTTAAAAACCTCGACCACCACTTAGCAAGAAGGCTCCAATTGAGCGCCTTCAAACTACCGATACCAATACCACCTTTGTCCAATGTGTTGCAAGCAACTTTCCACCTAACCCAGATAATTTTCCTACTCTGCCCAGTCCGGCCCCAAATGAATTGATTCCGAAGGCTTTCAAGGGTGCTAAGCACTTTTTCCGGGACTTTAAACAGAGAAAAAAGATAAACTCCCAAACTACCAAGAACCGATTTACAAAGAATCTTCCTACCACCAAACGATAAAAACTTGGCCTTCCAGGCGGAGAGTTTCTCTTGGAATTTATCCACTAACTTATTCCAACTACTACTTCTACCCATCTGCGCTCCTACTGGAAGACCCAAATATTGAAACGGAATAGAGGAAATCTTACAATTCATTCTTTGGGCAAGAAACTCAGCTTCACCGGTACCCGCGCCAATGCCATATAAACAGCTTTTCTGCAAGTTGATTTTCAACCCCGAAGAARGATAAAAACATCTAAGTAAACGAATCAAATTTAGGCCATTCGAAAACGACCATTCCCCCATAAATAGAGCRTCGTCAGCATATTGAAGAATCTCTATTCTAGGTCCACCTCTGGGAAGGGACAACCCGTTAAAACACCTTTGATACGAGCTTCATACATAACCACCCTAAGAGCCTCCATAGTTATAATAAAAAGGAAAGGGGCAAGAGGGTCACCTTGTCGCACACCTTTCTCCATGATAAACTCCTCCATAGGACTTCCGTTCACCAGAATAGAGACACTAGCATTAGAGAGAATTCATCGAATCCACTTTCTCCAGGTATTACTGAAACCTATTTGCCACATAACATCGTCTAAAAAATCCCAGTTCAAATTATCGAAAGCCTTCTCGAAATCAGCTTTGAAGATTAATACTTTACGCTTTGTCTTTCTAGCCCAAGAAATAGTCTCGTTAACGATAAGCAGGCCATCCAGAATGCTTCGACCCTTAATAAAAGCCGACTGCTCCTTCCCGATAATCGAATCCAACACCCCTTTGAGTCTATTAGCCAGCAACTTGGAAACAATTTTACAAACACAACCAATAAGGTTAATCGGCCTGAAGTCTTTGAACAACAAAGGGTCCTTTACCTTTGGAATAAGAGTAATGAAAGAAGCATTCATCCCCTTCCAATTTCTGCGTTAGCCTCGAAGGATTTGACCGCTTTGAAAACATCGTCACCAATGACATCCCAAAACTTTTTAAAGAAAGCAAAAGAATAACCATCAGGCCCCGACGCTTTCTCATTACCACAACCCCAAACTGCGATTTTAACCTCCTCAAAAGAGAAGGGCAACTCGAGCGACTCCTTTTGACTTAGCGAGATTCTTTTGAAATKATTRCTCTTGAAAGACGGCCTACACACCTTATCTTCCGAAAATTTCTCTTTGAAGAAATCAAAAGCTGCTTTTTTCATCTCTAACGGATCACGAGTCCATCTTCCATTTACACCGATACCATGAATATTTAACTTGCTAAATCTGCATCGAAGAAGACCGTGGAAGAACCGAGAGTTTTCATCTCCTTCAAGAGTCCACCTAGCTTTGGCCTTTTGCCTGAGATCACTAATAACCGCTTCATCAATCTCCAAAATACGCTTCATAGTCTCTATTCTAGACTGCGCGACWTCAACATTCAGATTACCAGCTACCACAATCGAATCAAGATCATTGATCTTAGCCATAAGTAAGGCCTCCTCGGATCTTGAGGAGGCCGATCTTGAAATATTCCAAGCTTTGATCTTCACCTTTAGCCGCTTTAAATTGGAGAAAAGAAACCGAATGTTGTTAGGATTCGAGTAAGCGTTGCGATTTTTTATCCAGCCCTCTTTCACCATCTGCACAAAATCAGGATCATTAAGCCAAKAATTAAAAAGTTTAAAAGGGATMGGTCCAAAGTCAACTTCAYAGCCGTCAAGCAGGATAGGGCAATGAWYMGAATATAGAAACGGCAGCRCAGTCACACAAGCCTTAGGCCAGAAGGCGAGAAAACTCTGAGATACCAAGAAACGATCAAGTTTGCTCCATTTAAAGYCGTCCGCACTTTTTCTCGTGAACTTTCGACCACCCATTTTGAGATCCAAGAACCCGATCTCGGAAATAAAMTTGTTGAAGACCAAAGCACTCCCAGCATCAAACTCGGACCCAACCTTTTCCTCCCGACGTTTAACAACATTGAAATCACCGCAGCAAATCCAAGCATCAACAACTAAAGACTCCACTATCTTATTAATAATATGTATAATATTATATATATATATATATATATATATATACTATCTTATTAAGYAAATTTAGCAAAAGTCTTAAAGTCTTAAAATTCTAAATGACCAAGATACCCTTATTAGGTCACTTTTTCACCCCCTCCTCTCCTCACATACACTTACCCTCTTACATACACTAACCGATTTTTTTAAAATTATAATTATAAATTTATACTTTATACCCTTATAATTAGTTAATTAATTTACTTTATGTCCTTTACTTTTAAATGTTTCATTTTAAATCTTTATCAAATTAACATACATAATCGTATATCAATTAAAACATGTTTAAAAAATACATTTTTATTTTAACAAGTTACACCATTATAATCGTCTCGTTAATACCTTCGAAATGAGTCCAATATTGAATAGTTTTTGACTTAATTATATTATTATATATTATATGAAAAAATATTTTTAATATTTACGATTTATACTTTTATAGTTATTTATTTATATATATACTATATATTTTGGGGTTAGGCTATCCAAATTGCACTGTATAACATGTTCTGAATTAATATGTTCTTGGGWTTTTTTGAAATATATATATACATGTACTAATTCAACCTTAATCTGAGTTTCTGGACAAGAAAAATGGTAAACAGTTGAAATTTTATTCTAAAACCCAACTTTTTTGGTCTTTTCATGGCTTATGATCTGTCAAATTTGTAGTTTTCTTTATTGGTTTTGAGTGTTTATCTTAAAACTCAAGTTTCTTGGTTCTTTGGTCTTGGTGTAAATCGAACACATTTGTGGAGTCGTTTAAATATGTTGGATTTTAAATATATTGGATTTTAAAMTGTCATACAATTTTTTTCATCGATAGTCTGTAATTGAAACCATAACTCTTATTTATTCAAATTGTATTAATATGTAAAGATCAAGTGTAACATATATTATCGTCAAATCTTATCTTATAAAACCAGTGGAACTTCAAAATCGTTAAAATTCATGGCTCCCGCCGCATTGCGCGGGTACAAAACTAGTATATATATATATATATATATATAAATAATACAGAGACTTACTAATTTGAGACCTTTAAAATTCGTGAGATAAAAGAGGATAGAAAAAAGGTAAGGAACATCTAAGATGATATGGTCAACTTTTAAGCCGACGTATTTGGTTTTTAACAAATACATCTTAGAAGTCGGTGGTACGATTATTTTTAGCTGGGTCTATTCTCGTTTCTCAATTCACCATATTGGCTTAATCTATCATATAGAGAAATATCTTAAAAATGAACCAAAGGCTCCCTTATTGCTTGTTAAAATGTCCTGAACTGCCATTTTATTGCTTTTTTATAACAAAACTATATAACATTTTCATGTATCAAAAATACAATAAAATGGAAAACATTTGTTGAGATTAAGGTTGATTATCAAACTACATCAAACCAGATTACGTGTTTTTCTTATTAACATGAATATCCAACTTGCTATGCGAGCCGACTAATCACAGGGCAACCACCCGTTTCGTGGATAGTACAGAGTCACCACATTTGAACCTCCGTGGACACAAGAATTTTTTTATTCCTCATTGGATTCGAACCTCGGACCTCTAGTTACTTTTGATTTTTGGAATTCAAGCTCAAACCAATCGGACATCACTCTTATGGTTAGATCATGTGTATTAGAACTTTTTTTGATATGGTTATGTTCTGTATCTTTATGAAAACATACTTTATGATACGGTTTACAAATTATAAAATTGAAATTTAAATTGTAGTAAATCACACATTAATAATAATTTTTATTAGTTTATATATATATATATATATATATATATATATATATATATATGTAAGAACAGAAAAACTCAAAATTAAAACAAGTTTATGTCAAAACAAACCCAACCGAAAAGTTATTAGAAATTTAGAATGAGGGGCTCACATTAATTTTTTTGTCTCGGCCCAAATCAAGAATTAATGACCATGGTCTCCTTTGCCCTTTGACCTTTTTTCGAATGAAATCCCGTGTTTTCAAATCGTATGTATTTTTCTATATTTGTTAATTATGTGAAAATATATCATTAAAGAGATAATGAAAATATAGATGATGGCCACTTCGTCTTCAATCTTTCTTGCATTCAGTGTATCTATCTTCATGGTTCAATAGTCGAAAAGGGTATATTTGTAATTAATCAAGTAAATGATACTTGGGAGTTAATCTAGTGTTTGTCCGTTAGCTTTGTATATGAAATAAATCTTCTTGTATCCAAACATTATTCAAGAAATACACATTAGATTTTTTTTTCCTCTATATTTTGCTGTGAAATTTCAAATGTAAAAAAGTGGTCTCAGGACTCTCAAAAAAACATGTTAGTCTTACGTAAACTCAACTCTCTCTCTCTCCCCCTATATATATATATATATATATATATATATATATTACTCTGGGGTAGTTTTGTCTTTTAAAAAAAATGGATATGTAAGCCAAATGCTCGAATGATCAACGGAATTAATTAATCTAATTCCTCTATATTATGTCAAAATCYGGTAAACCAAACACCCCTTATTGTTGATATAAGATTTTTGTTTATTTTAATTTTATTTAATTCATATTCGTTTTTTTTTTCTGCTTATGTGTATGCATGTGATTGGTGGACATGAATGAAACTTGAAAATTTTGGACAAGTGATTTTTATCTGTCTCTCATACGCCTTTGCTTTTTGGTTCTTTCAGATGAATAAATGCCGTGTTCTATAATTTTATGTTTTTTTTCTATCCGCCAATTACTTGAAAACATATCGTCAGACAGATAATAAAAACATATATCAGTGTCACATCGCCTTAGATCTTTCTTACCTTCAATCTTTCTGTTAGCCCATTGTCGTTGCCTCCTGCTCTCAAACAAAAACACAAATCATTGTCACGTTGTCGTCACCTTCAAGGTATTGTCTTTTTTTTTTATAAGTATATAATATTTAAATACCACAAATTAAACTCACACACTTTTCAGCAAATGTGAGACTTGAACCCCTGACCTCTAGAAATGTGGGGTTACCTGATAGGCGGGTTTACACCCTCCTAAATTTCATATTTCTTTTGAAGGACTCTTCTGACCAAACCAAAAAAATATGTAATTGTCAGCAACGTTGTTTACTTATTTTAATCCAGGAAGTTTTTCTTACTTTATACACAATTAATAGATCATCGATTCAGATTGGCTAAAAAAAGAGATAAAATCCTCAATAAGCAGTTCAAATCGTTTTATCAGCATATATGTTCTATATTGATATAATATTTCTTTTGAAACCATCTCTATATTAACATAGTGATAGAAAGAGTATCGTTCTGCGTCTAAACTTCAATCAATTTAGTTTTAATCATGTTAATGGTCCCACATTATTGGTTGATCGAGAATCAAAGTGGATTTTTCAATAAATTACGAAATGCTATAGTTATTACATATGATTTCTGAATTTATTCAGAAATAATTCGCGAGATCATGCACCCTTCTTTATGCACCGACTTGCAATAAACTGTCTGAATAACGCTTCGTTTGCTTGTAAAACGAGCGAAACTACCAAGAAAGTGGTACAAGAATAACGCCTAAAATGGCATTATCATCATCGAGTATCACCATACGAATAGCCCTTTGGTTCAAGGTCGTATATTCAATGTTTATTGTTATATTATATACGTTTTAGTCTGTGTCAAATTTCTTTATTTTTGTTGTAGATAAAGAAAACTCAAAAGTCATAATCTAATTCAGTCACTCCACTGATCCAATGCAAAAAGTACTGAATTTGGCATGTGAATCAGTTTTTCGTTTTTTAGATTGCTCTTCAGTGTGTATGAAGTTAGGGATTTCAGATAAATTGTCGGGTGTTCATGAAAGATGGAGCTTCTTGTTTATTTTAGATTTCTTGATTAATCTTGTCCAAATTTAGATTTAGTTATGTTATGTATATTGTAACTTTGTTCTGTACGAACCATCAGACTTCAGTTTGTTTTGATTACAAGTGTCATGATGTAATCGGTGATATATTTTGAGGTATTAGGTATAAAATATTAATAGAAGTAAATATATAAAGCTTATAAAATGAAATAAATATGATTTTGTTCTGAAACCAGAAATGATACAAACCAATCTATAACTGACTTTCTTTATTCCATCATCAGTGTATTGAACAGTGGAAACCCACTTYATTGTCCATATGTATTATTATTTATAGTTTGGAAATTGTGGGTTTCCCTAATTGAAGTTCACTTCATACTTGGGTTGCTGATTTGGGGAGAAAATTCCGAAATGTTTTTCAGTTTCTGCTCCMTCTTTCTTATTTTCATCAAACATGGCAAATATGTACGTCTCTATGGATCTTCCAGGCTTCCTTGGCGTCCCGTTCGTTCCTTTGACATGTTGAATCAAATTGTTATTGTAAGTTTTAGCATTTTCCACTGTTGCTACAGGGTCGCCGCCTGCCGAAGGCCATCCGCTCTCTGACACCACAATCTCCACATCCTCTCCACCAAGAGGTGCTTGAGCTGCATAGTGAGCATCTAACATAGCGTCAAAAAGGTTGGAGTATTGTCGAKTGCCATCATTCACAACTGGTCCTGKTGCAGTAAACAATGCATACGGGAGATTTGAACTYGGGTTTCCAAAATAGGGGTAGATGTTAGCAAGCATTGGCAAGTTGTTTTGGGCTAGAAATCTAATTATCGGCTCAATAAATCCCCGCACATTGCCATCAAATGCGCCATTGCTTGGTGGAGAGGAGGTGGCTAAGAGACCGGTGTAGGTTGCAGTTGACACCTTAATTTGGCCCCCTAGACCTGCAGCGTTAATGGCGTTGTGAACATTTTGCATTGCTGGRAGTACGAAGCCTGCGTATTGACCGCTTTCCTTATTTGGATCGACTTCGTTTCCAACAGCGACGTATCTAAACTTGACATCTGGGTAATTTTGGATGTTGTCTCTAACCCACGTGGTTGCAGCATTTTGATCGTTGAGGGATTGCAGAGCATCATTAGGAACACCGAGCATGACTTCGATATTGGATCCCTTGAGGGCTTGAAGAGTATTTTGATCTGGATCRTATATACGCATCCTGGTTATGCCGTTGTTTTTGTAAAGYGTTACCACGTCMGGTTCTGAGGGCAAACCATCACCATTTCGTCCGTAGCACACGCCTACCGATTGTGCATCTGTTTGGCACCAAATAAGAATAAAATCATTTAAATACARTTCATCTTTCCCATAAACACCGAAAGTTAGAACTTTCGTATCAATTTGTAATTTCTYCTCAATAATTTATCATCTACTTTAAACGGTGCAAATACATGTAGCCAAARAGTATTTCCATGCTTGTGGGTATAGCCTAAAGTATTCCCATGTGCACATACATACATTCACACACATACATACATACATACATACATACATACATACATACATACATACATACATACATACATACATACATACATACAT